GACTTAACACTGCAACTCAACACACTTGAAAAGCAACAGCAAACAAAACCCAAACCCTGTAGACAAGAAGAAATAACAAAAATCAGGGCAGAAATCAATGAAATTGAATCAAAGAAAACAATACAAAGAATCAACAATTCCAAGAGCTGGTTCTTTGAAAAGATAAACAAGATTGACAGACCGCTAGCCCAATTAACCAAAAGAAGGAAAGAGCACCTCCAAATTACAGAATCAGAGATGAAAGGGGAAACATCACAACAGACACCAGAAAGATACAGAACATTATAAAGGAATACTTTAAAAACCTTTATGCTACCAAATTCGAAAACCTAAAAGAAATGGATGCATATCTAAAGGCATGGGAACCACCAAAACTAAACCAAGATTAACAGCTTAAACAGACCCATATCACAAAAAGAAATCGAAACAGTAATTCAGTATAGTTTTAAGCTTAAGTCACACCATGTTAACTTACAGGCCTATGATACACGTGGGAATGCATTAATTTATATTAATAAAATTACTAGAGAAAAAAATAAAAACAGGAGGAAAAAGAAAACAAAATCAAAAACACCAAGTTCTAACCAAATCTTCATTTAAAAATATTAACAGGAGCAGCCATATTCCAAAGTTTGTACTTACAGACTGGTCAGGTCCATCACCTCCTAGAACCCTAAAGCCAAACCCTGATTCCTGTTTCCGAAGAAAAACGTCCAGATCTTTGGTGTTTGGTGCTAAGGAAAATAAGAAAATGTAAATATTGTTTATTTTAAAAGGTCTGAAACAAAACAAAGCTCACTATTTAGTGGAAAAATATTACAGAGCAATCAACTATAATGTTGGTATGTGAAACTTTATACAAGAACTTAACATCTATACAAGGAAATTCAAGTATAAATCTGTGTTTTGAATGCTAAACAAAACTTTATCAAGATTGATTAGGAATACTTACCCCACTTCCATCCTCTCAGTATTATACTGTCACTAACTTCTAATGTTGTCCAATCAATATTATAACATTAAGTTCAGAATTATCCAATTGATAGGTGCAAATGATCTAAGTTTAACATTTGAGCAAGGTACTTTAAATCCTAGGAAAAGAGAGCCCATAAAATGCCTTATTTCTACTCTTTAGTGAATACCTTTGTCTAAGAAAAGTATTTTACATGAACTATTTAGCCTAAATTTGTAAAATTAGTATTTTTAAAGAAAATAAGTAATAGCTAACATCTCTTATTTACCCCATTTTCTAGGTGTAGAAATCAAGATCCTAAATAACTTGCCTAATGTTTCACAGTGACTTGTAGAGCTGAGATTTAAATCCAGCTTGATTCCCAGATGCTAGGCTCACCCCATATGATCCTGTCCACAAGGAGCTGGTTATGTTTGTTTATCAGACTATTAAGTCGGGAAAATCCGTTTCATGATCAAGATTGTGTCTCTGGGAAAGTACTAACTTTATTCATAAGTAAGATGTATTTACTAGAAAGAAAAAACAAAAGAGAAACCGCTAGGAAACTATATAAAAAGTGAGATATGGAATAGGGTTATTCCTGGTAATTCTTTGGAAACAATCTCTTTTGATAAACACTTTCTAATACAATCAATCATTGAACTTTAGGGGATAGAGTAGGTGGTTCAGTGGTAGAGCAAGGTCAGCAGCAAAAACAAAACCTAACAACAAAAACTCCATCAAAGAGAACATTAGAAATTACAAAAGTTAGGCCAGCAAGATGGCTTAGCAGGTAAAGCACTTGCTCTGCAAGCCTGAGGATCTGAGTTCAATTCCCAGAACCCAGATAAAAGTGGAAGGAGAGAACCAACTCCAGTAAGTTGTTCTCTGACTTCCACACACATATGTGGGTGGCATGCATGTGCCCTCTGCCACACATCGTACACACAAACACACACACACACACACACACACACTACATAAAAGTTTTAAAAAGAAAATGAGAGGTGTCTTGAGTCAAACTCACTTATTTTATAGTGAGGCTCAATGACACTACAGAATTTATACCAGTATCAAGAGTGTATCAGACTACAAATGGGCAGTCTGAAGGAAGGGGTTCTATACATAGTTATACTCATTTAAATCATTGCTATATTATACTTGATCTGGTCTTCACTTTTCTGACTATGGTTAGAGGTATCAAGATAAAGATATGCAGCTAATTAAATAAGCATGAAGTCAGTCACATACTATTTCCATTTGTGTATTTCTTTTTCAATATAGATATATTCTATTTCTTTAAAAAGAAGCTTGAAAATTAAACCTAAATAGATTTGAAAATTTTCTTTGGAAAAGATTTATCATCAGTAAATAAATTAGTGTAAAATGTACTTCTGCCTTGTGCACTTTCTCTCCTCTCTCAGCTGGCCTCTAAGAAGTCCACTACAGTTTCCTCTTCAAATCACATACTCCTCTGACCCTAACTCCATCTTCTACCAGAAAATCTTTTTTTTTCTTAAATATTTTATTTATTATTTTTTATTTTGTGTGTTTTCATTTATTGCCTGCATGTAGGTAAGTACACCCGTGTTGTACAATGCCCGCGGAGTACAGAAGAGTCTGTCAGATCCCCTGGAACTGGAGTTACAGACAGTTGTTAGCTGCCATGTGGGGGCTAGGATTCGAACCCAGGTCTTCTGCAAGAACAGTCAGTGTTCTTAACTGCTGAGCCATCTCACCAGCCTCCAGAAAATCTTTCTAATATACAAGTCCAGTACTATTTTTCCTATAGCAGGAAGTATTCTACGGTTCTCTATCCTTTATCCAACATACTCCAGCTTCCTCATTGGCTAGCCACAATCTGTCCTACTGTCTTCCTCTGGCTTCCCTTGCCCATCATTGTACTCTGAATTAATGTGCAGAAACAGGCTAAACAAGGCCAACTTGCAAATGCTCCTCCTCCTGCCTTTCCTTTTATTCACCTTGTGAACACCTCATCCTTGAAGACTTGACTCAAGTTTGCCTCCTATATGAAGCATTACTTGACACTTCTTACTACTCACAACAATAAACTGGCTATTTCTTACTCTGCCTCCCAATTTATCCAGTTTATCTTTCTATCATTATCTCTGCTGGGCTATGTGTATGTATTTGGTTACAGATTTGTCTGCTCCATTTAGATTTAACAATATTTCTGGGTACAGGTACCTATTTATCTCTGTATTGCAATTAACTAATATGATGTCTGTTAAATAGCTTGTACTTAAGTCACAGCTTTCAAAAAAAAATGAGTGAATATTGACTGCACATATAAGAAGCCCAGAATCATGTTAAAATGGGAATAAATGAATAATTACTTGATATGTTTATAAAAGATGGGAAGTTTCCAATTTTAAAATAATTCAAATTTATATTGTTACATGCTTCCCTGAAATATGCCATAACTACTTACGTTTATCTTCATATATAGTCTTAGATTTCAGGTAGACCTCCGAAGGATCCAATTTCGGGGATCCTGACCTGATAATGCTGGGTGGAAAAGGCATAGGTTGGGGAATGGGTTCATTTATGGCCTCCAAACTTCCTGAATTTTCCTTTTTATCTGTTTTCTGAAATGGAAAAGGACTTTACTTAGTATTTTTTTAAAAAATAAGGAGGTTGGTTATTTCACAAAACTAGTGTGAACTGGGAATGGCAACTAAGTGCAGTTGTACAGGCAGCAGGGTCAAAGCAACAGTCTGGTCATACGTACAGGAATTCACTTTCATAGTCATGCCTATCTGGTTAAATAATATTTAACTTACAATACTTTTTAATATTTTTTAAAATTATTTTTTTCTATTTTATGTGTTTGAGTGCATTGCCTACAAGTGTGTAAGTGTGCCCATGTCATGCAATGCCCACGGAGGTCAGAAGAGGCT